CATCTCGCAACTGGTGGACCGCGCCTTGAGCCCACGAGGAGCTGCATCGGACTGTGATAAGGACGTTGATCCAAGTCTCATTGGAAGCCGCTTTTTCAACAAGACTCGACGGAGTCAAGGAAGTGGCACGGATAGCGCAGCTAGCACGGTCATGGCTGCGAAGTCAAACGCTGACAGCGAGACCAACGTCAAGGTGGTCGTCTCTGAAGGTACGAACTTTGCAATTCTGGCAGATTAGTTGGTTTTCCTTGACAATGGCGATTCCAGTTGCTTTTACCTTAGCTTTACCTCGTGAAACAGGAATCCGCCACATGAATATCACTGCGTCTGATATAGATGTGCTTTTGGAGCTCAAGCCTGAAGGGAAGGCAAGTACTCAAAGTCTCCGTGTTGCAGATGTTCCTGACCTGATGTTATCAAGGATGAGACTGTTGTTACGTTCGGAGTCAGGGATGTATGTGTGCGAGAAACATCAAGCGCGAATACAGTTCTTATATTCCTCGGCTCTGCTTCCCCTCGCAATACGGTATGTTGCGTTATCACACAGATCGCAGAATTCTTGCTTATTATCGTTGGCAGATCAATGCTGTGCAACCTCTGCTGAAACTACGATTCACGTCGCTTGTAGTTTCTGATTCTACTGCAAAAGAGTCTAGAATCAAAGTGACGGTTTGTGGCGCGACATACACTCTGCATCCTGACCTGAGCTGGGTGTCGGACCTTGCCCGGTTTGTGAAGGCTCCACCAGGAGTAAGTGACCCAAAAACCCTCCAGAAAGCCTCTCACCAATTTCCATTACAGGTGTTTGAATCGGTGGTGCCTAGTGAGCGCACTCGGCTTTCAGTCAAGGTCGTGGACAGTTCAGTTCGGGCACTGTGCCCTACATACCCCGGCTCGCTCGTTCTTCATGTCGGAGAGCTGGACTTCTCTAGCGTTATGGTTGGAACTGTCCCTGAAACATCCTTCAACCTGATTATGCAGACGGTCTCCCTCTTACTACTTGATGATGCCAGCCTCGCGGAGGCCTCCGCTGCATCGTCTAGTAAGGCCACTTCCATGAGTCAAGTCAGTCGGACTGGTGGGGGATTATGGAAGGTACTCAACGCATTACGTAAAAAGTTGGCTCGTTTGACTGACAGCATGGCAGCTCCTCGGATATGCCCTTGTTGCAGAGTTGTCAGGGTTAGAGGTTTTGTTTTCCAAGAGAGATCAACTCACTCCTCCTGACATAAGAGTAAGTCATCATCATCCTCACATAGACGCCTGCTGAACATAACAAGGTTACTGCGCCGCGAGGCGATCTTCGTATACACCTATGTGCGGATACTGGCACTGCCCTAGCAGGCTTCGTTGGCGATTTTTCGTCCATTTTCTCCAGCTCTGTTGTGGAAAGGTAAAAGAGGTTACTTACGCTTATCATACGTTGCTGATTTTTTGCCATAGCCCCGAACCGCAGAAACCCCGGCAAAAACCACCTGTGGAGATTGTGCCTGAACAGAGAGGCAAACAGGACCTTACTGGTAAGTTTACTGTGAAAAATCGCGGACGAGTCACTTACCCTGGACTAGCCTCATTGGATGAACACGCGTTCCGAAGGACAATACCACAGGTTGGCGCAGCTCCTGACATGGTAGACGATGACCTTCCGACCAATATCGATTATCTGGACGATTCATTCAGTGCGGCTGCTGGGCTACGTGAATTCAATGATGACGACCTCGATGAATTTGATGCCGACGAAATGCTTGTCAACATCAGCGACCAGACAGGTCTGTTGTCCGCATACGGAGGAGAAACCATCAGGCTCTTTGATCCAAGGGGCCTTAAAGTAGTCGAAAACTACTATGAGACTTTACCTCCAGAGGCCACGGACGAGTCTGCACAGTAAGTACCCAGTCATAGTCATGTCAAGCTTGATATTCAATGCAAGCATAGGTATGGTGAGACTTCCCTGAAAGTCCGAGTCAAGGATTGCGGCGTCACTGTCTTCCTGTATGACGGCTATGATTGGGCCAGAACCCGTAAGATTATCGAAGAAGAGGCGAAGGACATGAGACGGAGGTTGGCGAAAATCAGGCAGTTAGTCGCCAATGGTCAAACTCCCGATCCAACGGCTGAAGAGACCAACATGCTCCTGTTCAATTCGGTTTACATAGGTCTTGAGCAGAACATGGATGAGCTAGAGCCGGCAGCGCTAATAGCAGCCATCGACGAAGAGCTGAATGAGGAGCTTGAGGCCGCTAGTCAAAGTTCCTGGCAGTCACTTATGCCACAGCCAACCTCTCCCAAAAGCCCTGAATCACGCTTGAAACGATCTAAGAGGAGCCTGACAAGATCGAAAGGACCCAGCATCGAGTTCAGACTAGAAGGGCTATCAGCTGAAGTCGACAATTACCGTTCGCACGAGTCTTTGGCGTCGAGGATTCTCGTCAGCATACGTGATGCCGAGATTCTTGATCACATCAAAACCTCGACATGGAGCAAATTCTTGACTTCGCTTCACACGGACTCCCGAGGTAATATTCGCGAGAGTGGGTCGAACATGGTGCGAGTAGAGCTGAGGAAAGTCCGCCCTGTCCCTGGCAACCCGGCTGAGGAAGCTAGACTGAGGGTAAGTTTCCACGATCTCATTTTCTCGCCGGGTTCTTACTCTCGTTCCAGGCCAAGGTCTTGCCGCTTCGCCTACACGTGGATCAAGACGCGCTCGACTTCATGAAGAAGTTCTTCAGCTTTAAAGACCCAGACGCAGTACCTTCAGCGCCTTCGGAGCCTCACGAGGAAATATTCTTTCGTGGGTTATAATGTTTGCCGTGCGGTTCCTTGTAACTGACAAATACTTATAATAGAGCAAGCCGAAGTCTTCCCAGTAGACCTCAAGCTAGACTACAAGCCTCGACGCGTTGATTACAGAGCGTTACGTGAGGGCAAGACCATTGAGCTCATGAATTTCTTCCACTTTGACGGTGCTGAGATGACGTTAAGACACATAACGCTAAACGGCGTAGGTCTCTATGCGTGCTCTCCATGCTATTATCTACTAAATAACACATGTGCAGATTACCGGATGGGCAAGGCTTGGCGATCTATTGAACGACTTGTGGACTCCCGACGTCAAAGCTACCCAGCTGGTTGAGGTTATTTCGGGTGTGGCACCCATCCGTTCGGTAGTGAACGTCGGCTCTGGCGTCGCAGACCTCGTCCTGTTACCGATCGCACAGTACAAGAAGGACGGACGGATTGTGCACGGGCTCCAGAAAGGTACAACAGCGTTCGTCAAATCTACGGCGACGGAAGCAATCAAGATGGGTGCCCGTCTTGCAACTGGTACCCAGGTCATCCTGGAGCAAGCGGAAAACGTCATCGGCGGTCAATTCGACCACTCTGTCACTGCCGAGGCTCTGCACATACCGATGGGTGCACCTGGTGCAGATAACATGTTCGCAGAAGGGGCCGACATTGACGATTTGATCAGTCGATATGCAGACCAGCCTGCTGGAGTGACGGAAGGCGTGAAGTCGGCGTACAAGAGTTTGAGACGCAATCTTACGTCGGCCGCACAAACAATTCTTGCGGTGCCCATGGAAGTCTACGAGCGGTCAGGAAATGAGGCAAGTACTGAATGTGTTCAATTACTACCATATTGCTCATGGAAAGTCCACAGGGTGCTGTACGAGCTGTCGTTCGCGCGGTACCGATTGCAGTGCTGAAACCCATGATCGGTGCCAGTGAGGCCGTGAGCAAGACACTGTTGGGGCTCCACAATACCCTGGATCCAAATGTCCGTACAGAGAATGAGGCGAAGTACAAGCAACGTTAGTGCGTATATCGGACGGAATGGACTTGTCACATGGGTTTGGCATGTAATAGTTGTAAAACCACACAAAAGGACGTTGTAATGGTACACATGCTTTGACGGCTCTGCATAGCTGTCTATGCACCAGGATGCAGAAGAACACAACGAAAGCAGAGAAAGAGACACATAGCTGAGAAGTACATTCAATCTATGACCATACCCATAGACCGCCCTTCCCCTGGAATGAGCGCACTGCGTGACTTTGCGGGCACTTTGATTTTCTCCCGCAACCTTTCCGGCTCGTCTGCCTCCATGGCCACCGGCTCCACCAGCTTGATGGAGGCAGACTTTGCTGAGAGCTTCTTCTTCCTGTGGGCACGCAATTTTTCTCTGCTTGCCGCCATCCTGTGTTTCCAAAATGCGTGCTCCCTCTTTTGCTTGATCTCCGCGATACGTTTCATGGCCTTGACCGTGGTCTGTACCAATTCGCGATCGTAGCGTACTGGCACATTTCTCCGTTTTTCAAAGTCGATTGTTGAGTCCTAGGGGTAGCAGATGAGAAGGATAGTAGAGGAGAAGCCGATAAGTACATACCACGGTCATCTCCTTGCCTGCTGCCTTGCGGAATGCCTTTGTCCATCTCACTTTACGGGGATTACGTTTCATTCTAGGAAAACATTCAGCATCTTCGGTACAAACTATGCGTGAAAGCACGCACTTAAAGTTCTTATGGCATCTGAAAACACAGGTTAGCACACGATACGAAGCTACGAGCGTATAGGCTCACTTTGAAGTGCAAAAACGGAACATTTTGGCATCGTTGCGAACGAAGCCAATGCCTGCACGAAAGCGTAAGTATAAGGACTAGGTATCAAGGCGGCTCACACACCGTGTCCAGGGTATACGCTCTTCGAGCAAAAGTAACACTTTTCGATACGCATGATTTATGGGGAGGTGGTAGAGTGCAAGTCCTTCAAGTTGCTGCCGATTCCCGCTCGAAATTTCCTGAGCCACGTGGAGTCGAGCGCCCACTGACTCGGACTCATTTCCTGAGCGACAGTCACCTACAGCTGCCCCAGACACAGCGTAATGTGAGCTAATAACGAAACTTAGCACGTATTGCAAGGTAATGTTGTGGCTGGGAGCAATGCACATTTGTTAAACACCCAGCGAAGCTCTGTTTTGACATAATTATCTTCGACACATCGCCGGGATAGCTCAGCTGGGAGAGCAGCAGACTGAAGTGCATACAGATTAATCTGAAGGTCGCGTGTTCAATCCACGCTCCTGGCATTTTTTGCTCTTCTTCTATTCGCACACAACAAGCACCCACTGGCACCACATGTAGTACTATTGATGACCCAGAAGTGAACTGGGGACAGGAAGTGAACTAGTTGCTCGGGAGGGTACTTCTGCTTGCTCAGCCATGCTCAAAACTAGTGGTAGCAGGTCCGGCATGCAGCAAGTACAATTCCTGAACTCATCAACCTGTATCTACCACTTCATTTATGAAACTTGGCAGAAAGATAATGTGGCAGATTTGATTCTGTCATCACATACTTTCTTGTTTGAGTGAATCATTGTGCTATATTCACTTCAATAATCAAGCTTTGTCCAAAAACAAGGGGGCATATGCACAGCATAACTACAAGAGTTGTGTGGAGACTTAACATATTTGTTAACATAACCTTGTGGTGATTCATGGCACCTAGAATATACTGTTACATTACAAATGTGCTTGGTGTCACCTACAACATCTATTGTGGTTCAAAACTTTAGTAACCTTGGGAATGAACTTCTCTAGTAACTGTTACAAGTAACATTCCTGATAGTACTATATCTAATTATGTAGTTTCCCACGCCTTGTTCCAATGATGTTTCAAGGTAGCAAAGTTCCCATAGTCTTGATAAGGGAATT